GACAAACCATCAAACAGCCAAAGAGTCAATACAGGACTAAGATTGAATCGTACTACACCAGCTCTGACGTTCGTCGGATGTGGCAGGGCTTGAAAACTATTACAGACTACAAAGGGAAGCACAGCCGCAAGCTGCCCAGTGACACAAGACTTCCAGACGAGCTAAACCACTTCTATGCTCGCTTCGAGGCAAGCAACACTGAAGCATGCATGAGAGCACCAGCTGTTCCGGATGACTATATGATCACGCACTCCGTAGCCGATGTGAGTAAGACTTTTAAGCAGGTCAACATTCACAAGGCCGCAGGGCCAGACGGATTACCAGGACGTGTACTCCGAGCATGTGCTGACCAACTGGCAAGTGTCTTCACTGACATTTTCAACATGTCCCTGACTGAGTCTGTAATACCAACATGTTTCAAGCAGACCACCATAGTCCCCGTGCCCAAGGACACTAAGATAACCTGCCTAAATGACTACCGACCCGTAGCACTGACGTCTGTAGCCATGAAGTGCTTTGAAAGGCTGGTCATGGCTCACATCAACACCATTATCCCAGAAACCCTAGACCCACTCCAATTTGCATACCGCCCCAACAGATCCACAGATGATGCAATCTCTATTGCACTCCACACTGCCCTTTCCCACCTGGACAAGAGGAACACCTACGTGAGAATGCTATTCATTGACTACAGCTCAGCATTTAACACCATAGTGCCCTCAAAGCTCATCACTAAGCTAAGGATCCTGGGACTAAACACCTCCCTCTGTAATTGGATCCTGGACTTCCTGACGGGCCGCCCCCAGGTGGTAAGGGTAGGTAACAACACATCTGCCACACTGATCCTCAACACGGGGGCCCCTCATGGGTGCGTGCTCAGTCCCCTCCTGTACTCCCTGTTCACCTATGACTGCATGGCCAGGCACGACTCCAACACCATCATTAAGTTTGCCGACGACACAACAGTGGTAGGCCTGATCACCGACAACGATGAGACAGCCTATAGGGTGGAGGTCAGAGACCTGGCCATGTGGTGCCAGGATAACAACCTCTCCCTCAACGTGACCAAGACAAAGGAGATGATCGTGGACTACAGGAAAAGGAGGGCCGAACACGCCCCCATTCACATTGACGGGGCTGTAGTGGAGCGGGTCGAGAGTTTCAAGTTCCTTGGTGTCCAAGAAAGTTGTGAAGAGGGCACGACAACGCCTTTTCCCCCTCAGATTCTCAAAATGTTCTACAGTTTATTTAGTAAATATTTTCTTAACTCTATTTTCTTAAAACTGCATTGTTGGTTAAGGGCTTGTATTCGGCGCATGTGAAAATGTTTATTTGATTAAACAAACACTCAAACAGGCAACAGAAGCAGGATCTGTCTTATTTCTGTAGATATAAACTATATATACAAATGTATGTGGACACCCCTTCATATTAGTAGATTCCGTTTGAACCATGATAGTTTGTTGGTGATGTGGACACCAAGGAACTTGAAACTCTCGACCCGCTCCACTACAGCCCCGTCAATGTGAATGGGGGCGTGTTCGGCCCTCCTTTTCCTGTAGTCCACGATCATCTCCTTTGTCTTGCTCACATTGAGGGAGAGGTTGTTATCCTGGCACCACACTGCCAGGTCTCTGACCAACTCCCTATAGGCTGTCTCATCGTTGTCGGTGATCAGGCCTACCACCGTTGTGACATCAAAAAACTTAATGATGGTGTTGGAGTCGTGCCTGGCCATGCAGTCGTGGGTGAACAGGGAGTACGGGAGGGGACTAAGCACGCACCCTGAGGGGCCCCTGTGTTGAGGATCAGCGTGGCAGATGTGTTGTTGCCTACCCTTACCACCTGGGGGCGGCCCGTCAGGAAGTCCAGGATCCAATTGCAGAGGGAGGTGTTTAGTAACAGCCTCTGGTATTATTTATAATTTATTTAGTGTTTACACTGTTTATATTTTTTATAATAATAAAAACCCTCCTTTTTCTTGATCTCCTTCTTATTGTTATTATTACTATTATTATTATTAAGATCATCATTATAATAATAAGTAATGTCATTATCATTAGTAGGCTTAGTATAGCAGCGTTGTATAACCACCATCGAGCTGTAGGCCTAAGAGCGCATGCTGTTTAGTCTTAATACCGTAATTTACTTAGGCCTATATTTCAATACTTATATAGGCTACTTTATCAGTCATTCATTCGTTCATGTCATCACACAGCATACGAGTCATTCATGATTTGAAATGCAATCAAGCATTTTAGTAAAATAATAATATAACAAAGCGACCCTTGAATAATTAGCGTAAACAATAAATAAACCGTTTCATTTCGGAAATTGCATTCACGAATGAATCCTACTGTATTTAGTCTTTGCTGTAATAAAGGCTTAACAAAACAATTATTTATCATTTTTAATTTATTTATTTTACATTTTCCAAAAGGTCACAAAAATTATATTGTAATATTACAGCACCTGTTTAGCATATATAATATGCACGCAGCGCTTGTGCTTTACCTTCTTTTTTTAATCTCCAGTATTTTCCACAACTAGTCAAATTTATTCCACAATCTGACTTCCCGTTTACCTCCTGAGCAACCAGTAAACATTCCCCCGTTTCGATCTGTCACGTCCTCTGCATCCATTTTGCTGTTACGGTGTTCGGAGTTTGTTATAAACAGTTTATTGATATGATTAAGATATGCTATATGTCAGGCCCTATTGGTCACGTGCATGCAATGCATACATGTGTCATGTAAAGCGAGCAAGGGGGAATAGGGAATGTTTTTCCTAAACAAATTAGGGATTTCAGTAAGATAACTTTTCAGTCAGAAATGGCTGTAATTATGTAGCAGCTTCAGTAACACGGAAAGCACAAGAAACACTTGATGTCCTGTAGTGATCGCTGCAGCAGGGAGGAGAGAGACAACGGGTGCTAGTCACACAGTCACTCGCTGTCATTTGTTTTTAAAACAGCGCAGCAAGTCTGAGCCCGGCCTGGCACAATCAAATCAATTGCGGTCGGATTCCCTCTAGTCATTTGTGTGTCCTAATTATTTCAGTGAGCTGAAAGCATCAGACAAGCTCAGTGCATATAGCTGATTTGATTAAAACACATAGGATGAGTCTCTATATATGAAAAAATACACCTTTTAAAATTTCGACCAATCGATTGGTCGAAAGAACAGACGACTCTTGGCTGACCCAATATTTTTTTTAGTCGGGGACAGCCCTAATGTCTTTTCAACGCTCATAGGGCACAGTGTACGTGATAGCATTGCACCAATCTCAAATGTATCTAAACCAACCTCCTGCCCCACAATCTCATCCATATCTCCAATCTGGGGATTCATGCTAGCCTCCCACCAACCTGATGGATATCTCTAGTCTGTCTCGCCAATCACTTTTTTCTCAACTAGTCTCAACCTGGGCTCGCTGCTATCTCACACACACACACGTGTCTCCATATCTCTCTGTGTCTGGGCCCCGGCTGTTTGACGGTGGCACCCAGGCATAACCCCGCTGATATGTCACTCTGTGCTGAGGGGGAGTGGGGGGATTGTAACACGGCACAGCCTGGTGACTTAGCCGTGTTGTTGTTTATGTGGAGAATGTGTTCAAGAAAGAAACGAGGGCTAAACGGGTAAGAGAGATTTGGTGGGGGGGGGGGAACGGGGGGTGACATATGTAAATGGCATTGCCTTGGCAGCCCCGAGATAACGAGCGCCATGGTTTATTCATTCGGCGGTGTCTCGCTCTCTCAACTGCAGATCTAGGCCGATACACACACACACACACACACACACCCATCTCTCTCGACAGATTTAATCTCCTCACACACACTCACTCCCTGTGTCATCCTCTCCCGACTTCACACACTTGCACAAACCAGCGTCTGTGTGTGGCGGGCGGCTCATTTGGCGAGCGAGTAAACAAGAGAGAGAACAAGCCCAGCCAATCACGTTGCGTTTCCTGTCAGGACGTTGAGGTTGTTTTGACCAATCACAAAGCCAATGGAGCCTTCCCTGTTCCCGCCGTGTGTTTCCAAAAGAGAGTGGATTTATGTATCATCCTCCTAATTGGCTGATTGTAGCTGTTGGGAGGCTAGATTGAGTCGTCCATCATGCTCGGCCATGACGCTCCAGGGGAAGGATTTCAGCCATGCAAGAAAAATAGCCCCTCATAAGGTCTTAAGGCCCCAGTTTTAAGGTGGTGACTGCATTTTATTGAGAGGCTAAAGGATTCCAAGTTAATCTGTTGGGCTGAGGCAAATGGTTATTGACTGCCCTGAGGAGCCATAGCAGCGAAAAACTGCCTCTCTCGTTTCTTTTTTTCTTTATCCCCGCCTTCGCAGATACATTTTCACTTTGTCAATATTATTACACTATTGTACACAGCCATGATCGCATGGAACTCCCTTCCCTCTCCAATTACTCAAGCAAACAGCAAAATTACCTTTAAAAAACGGATTAAACAACATCTCATGGAACGGCGGGGTATATGAGGGGACACACACTCTAACACACACATTTTTGTTGTATTGTTTGTATTCTTTTGTTGTTGTATTGTTTGTATATCATTGTATTTTACATTTGTGTGACTCTCCTTGTCTATCAGTGTTTTGTTACTTGTCATGTTTTTTGTGGACCCCAGGAAGAGTAGCTGCTGCTTCTGCAAAAGCTAATGGGGATCCAAATGAACAAATAAAAACCCCTCCAGCGGTATTATTACTTCCCGTCTCGAGCCGCCCACCGTCGCTTTCCATCCAAAACCAACCAAGACTTTTCACATTGTTACCAAACCAACGGCCAAGTCACCCTGCCACCTAGTCCGCCACAGTAGGATTCAATAGAGAGCCATAAAACACGGCTGCAAACATGTCTGTTTTACGGAAGCAATTTAGCCCTTGCTCAAGGGCACAGTGGTAATATCTCTTTCTGGCGGGCCTCAATAACACGGCAGCAGCAAATTGCATCCCCACTCAGAGAAAGCAACAGGGGAAAATGGCCAGTCCAGTATTGGTGTTTGGATGTGAGTGACTGGTCTATTTGTGGGGGGAATAAATGAGTGGACTCCTCATTGTAGCGACTGGTGTTTCACTAAAGCATAACTGGTTTGTTCTGTCGTGGTGTCCATAGTAGTACAGATGTATGTAAGTGGCTCCTGTTTGAGGTCTCACAGTATTAAGTGGCTGAAACATTTTAGAGCGTTGCAAATATAAATAAAGTAATACAGTTGATATTACCCTGTTGCCATCTAAAGTTGACTAAACAGGATCAGTCTACTACAGGGCTCTCCAACCCTGTTCCTGGAGAGCTACCCTCCTATAACTCCAGTTGTAACTAACCTGATTCAGCTTATCAACCAGCTAATTATTAGAATCAGATGCGCTAGATTAGGGTTGTAGTATAATACAAAGATATATATATATATATATATTAATTAATAATATAACCTTAGTGTCTGTTTTGAGTGACTGGTGTTTAGTGTCTATATGATCGTTTTGTTGGAGGGTTTAACCTCCAACCATCCGCTCTTACCCTCAGATCATCCAGGACCGGGTGCTGCAGCAGGAATCCAGGAGCACCTTGATGTGGAACAGCCACCCCGGGGGGCTCTTCACCCTGCCACAGTACTCTGCCCACTTGGGAGACTTCCCCTTCTACTATGCCACACTAGGTGAGTACCCCTCCTCTCAATCAACCAATCAATCAAATGTATTTATATGGCCTTTTCACACCAGCAGTTGTCACAAAGTGCTTTTACAGTGACCCGGTCTAGACCCCAAAGAGCAAGCACAAGCAGAAACACATTGGCTAGGAAAAACTCCACTCCTCCATCGCATTCATTGCATCGTAGCACCAGTCGTTCAGTATCTGTGTAACAGCAGTCCTTTATCCAATATTTCTTGAGCTATAGATATAGTAGGGCTACACAAGGAAAGTTACCTTGCTCAAAGTTGCCTCACTAGAATATACAGTGGGGGAAAAAAGTATTTAGTCAGCCACCAATTGTGCAAGTTTTCCCACTTAAAAATATGAGAGAGGCCTGTAATTTTCATCATAGGTACACGTCAACTATGACAGACAAATTGAGGAAAAAAAATCCAGAAAATCACATTGTAGGATTTTTAATGAATTTATTTGCAAATTATGGTAGAAAATAAGTATTTGGTCACCTACAAACAAGCAAGATTTCTGGCTCTCACAGACCTGTCATTTCTTCTTTAAGAGGCTCCTCTGTCCTCCACTCGTTACCTGTATTAATGGCACCTGTTTGAACTTGTTATCAGTATAAAAGACTCCTGTCCACAACCTCAAACAGTCACACTCCAAACTCCACTATGGCCAAGACCAAAGAGCTGTCGAAGGACACCAGAAACAAAATTGTAGACCAGGCTGGGAAGACTGAATCTGCAATAGGTAAGCAGCTTGGTTTGAAGAAATCAACTGTGGGAGCAATTATTAGGAAATGGAAGACATACAAGACCACTGATAATCTCCCTCGATCTGGGGCTCCACGCAAGATCTCACCCCGTGGGGTCAAAATGATCACAAGAACGGTGAGCAAAAATCCCAGAACCACACGGGGGGACCTAGTGAATGACCTGCAGAGAGCTGGGACCAAAGTAACAAAGCCTACCATCAGTAACACACTACGCCGCCAGGGACTCAAATCCTGCAGTGCCAGACGTGTCCCCCTGCTTAAGCCAGTACATGTCCAGGCCCGTCTGAAGTTTGCTAGAGTGCATTTGGATGATCCAGAAGAGGATTGGGAGAATGTCATATGGTCAGATGAAACCAAAATAGAACTTTTTGGTAAAAACTCAACTTGTCGTGTTTGGAGGACAAAGAATGCTGAGTTGCATCCAAAGAACACCATACCTACTGTGAATCATGGGGGTGGAAACATCATGCTTTGGGGCTGTTTTTCTGCAAAGGGACCAGGACGACTGATCCGTGTAAAGGAAAGAATGAATGGGGCCATGTATCGTGAGATTTTGAGTGAAAACCTCCTTCCATCAGCAAGGGCATTGAAGATGAAACGTGGCTGGGTCTTTCAGAATGACAATGATCCCAAACACACCGCCCGGGCAACGAAGGAGTGGCTTCGTAAGAAGCATTTCAAGGTCCTGGAGTGGCCTAGCCAGTCTCCAGATCTCAACCCCATAGAAAATCTTTGGAGGGAGTTGAAAGTCCGTGTTGCCCAGCGACAGCCCCAAAACATCACTGCTCTAGAGGAGATCTGCATTGAGGAATGGGCCAAAATACCAGCAACAGTGTGTGAAAACCTTGTGAAGACTTACAGAAAACGTTTGACCTGTGTCATTGTCAACAAAGGGTATATAACAAAGTATTGAGAAACTTTTGTTATTGACCAAATACTTATTTTCCACCATAATTTGCAAATAAATTCATAAAAAATCCTACAATGTGATTTTCTGGATTTTTTTTCTTCTCATTTTGTCTGTCATAGTTGACATGTACCTATGATGCAAATTACAGGCCTCTCTCATCCTTTTAAGTGGGAGAACTTGCACAAATGGTGGCTGACTAAATACTTTTTTCCCCACTGTATAATCTCATTATGTGTTTGGTCAAGTAGGACATACTACGTACATACAATCTTTATGGGTAGAGTCCTTGTGTCTTCTTAAACATATCTCTTATCCTATAATATACTAGCTACTAGCTCCCCTTCAAACATCCTTGAAATTAGAAACCATTGTTTCCAGAACCTTGACCGCCAGCTGTGACAGTCTTAAATGACTATGTAGCTGACACGCTGTCCCACCTTATCAATTGACTTGTTACAGCGGCTATAACAAACCATTACTCAAAGTACCCTTGATTGATGCTCGCATTAGGCCCACTGACACACTAAACAGTCAGTCAGTCGTTCGTTTCACTCAGCGAGCACGCCATATACCACTGCACCGGTTCACCAACACAAACTGTGCCTCTGTAACAATCTGCGTCCCAAATGGCTGCCTGTTCCCTATATAGTGCACTACTGACCAGAGCCCTATGGGTCCCGCTCAAAAGATAGGGTGCTATATGGGACTCAGCCCTTTTCCTCCATGTAACTCTATCTTCATATAGTCGATGAAGTCAGCTCCCTCAATACACAACCCTTTTGATCGAGCACCTCTGCAAGGCGCAGATATTAAAACAATCGCGCAGTGACAAGCATGGCTTACCCCGCGGTGAGTTTTATTTGTTTTTCACAGAGTCGACAATTAAGCATGTGGATGTTTTAAAGAGACAAGGTGGAGGGTGGAGTGTTGGATAACTAAACGAAACTGATTCTCCTGTATTCTCTATCTCATAATGACACTCTGAATCCAATCTGTTATTATGAGGAGCCAATAACTCTACCCCTTAGTTTGTTTACCGTAGTTCATAAAACTGATTGGTGTTGTGGATATGAATTGTACACCTAGTGGGATCAATCATTTAATAAGAAGTCTCCTTTCATCTCGTAAACAATTAGGTAATAATCAACTGGTTATGTAAGCATGGTCTATAAGTAAATACTAAAGCATAACCACCAATAACCAATAACTACAATGTGAAAACATACAGAGAAGGAACAATTTAGGTCTAGTTTAGAGTGATTTCTCCCAAATGTTTTGTCTTTCTTTTTGTCAGATTTTTGCTATGCCTGCGGTAATTGAGGAAACTAAAGATAATGACTTTGAACAAGCTGATGGATTTGGAGATATCAAAAGAAATGTGCCTAGAGGAGACTAAACTTCTGAGAATCACCAATATGTGTGTCTTTGTTCAGTTATATAAGACAGAGTGACGTCAATATCCTACTTTCTGTTCGTCTGTGTTCCAGCCATCAAACTGTAAAAAATATGATATGTTTGTCTGTATTGTAGGTATCAAACCCGACCAGTAATACTGTAAGTTTGATCTGTGTTATGTTCCAGGTATAAAACCGTACCCCAAGTTCACAGCAGTCATCCATGCAGTCACCCCCCTGGTCTCCCAATCCCAGCCCATCCTCAAGCTGCTGGTGGCTGTTGCCAAATCACAGTACTGTGCACAGGTAAGAAGCCACAAACGTGTTTCTGGGCGTGTGCACATTCCTGTGTGTCCCTTCAATTGTCGGAACACTCCCGAAACCCAATATTACTCCAACTGTGAGTGATTTCATAGCATTATTGCCGAGCCAGTTTTTTAAATGACACTTCTCCAGCACCAATAGAGGACCAACCTCTCTCTACCATCTCAGCGTTAACTCCTGTGGATTGAATTAGAAAGGTGGTTTGTACCGATCGGGTATCGGTCTCCATGGTACCGACTCCATCTCTCTCTCTCTGTGTGCGTGCATGTGGCTGTGCGTGCTTGTCCGTCTGAAAGCCCCATTGCTCCGCTGGATACAAGAAGTATTGATCCCTTCGCTGGTTTTAACCAGGGCTGGGGAAATGAAACCAAAGTCATCCCCCCCGATAGCTGTGTGTATTATAGTGTCTTACACACACTCCACCATAATGCTTCTTAGATGTTTCCCAACGTATAGGGAGGTGTGCAACCCTCCCTTCTCTATAGAAGTGTTTGTATTCGACATTCCAGGCTCCCTGTGCAAAGCTGAGAGCCGCGTACATATTAAAAGTATCAACATTTTCTATCATCTCACAAAGACTTCCATGTTGAGGGGGCCGGGAAGTGGAAGAGGAGGTGAAGAGAGGGATATAAATAAGTGAATGAAAGGGAGAGGGCGGGGGAGAGAATATTGGGAAAGAAAACCTTTGAGCCGGCACTGGCAGAGACATACATGCAGAGATTGTGGACCTCCTGCTGTGAGTGCGTGTGCTCCACAGTTTTACAGAAGAATGGTGTGCATCTGTCGCTCACGTCACTGACACGCACACCTAGACACACACTCACACTGCAACACATACAGAACACACTAAACACACTCACACATGCACACTCTCTCGCCTCTCTCTCACACCCACAGCTGGCAGGTTGACAGAGACGGCATCTGCCTGCCAACTCCTCTGTCATCATCCGAGGGAAGCAGGAATAGATCTATCTAAGAATGGATTCTCACGCTGCTCTGACAGCGTGTGTGTCTTAGCACTGTCCATTCACCACACATGGCTGTAAGCATGCTCATCCCTTTACAAGCCTTCATCCATCCAGCCATATCTCTGCCTGTCTCTCTGCCTGGTCTCTCTGCCGGGTCTCTCTGCCGGGTCTCTCTGCTGGGTCTCTCTGCCGGGTCTCTCTGCCGGGTCTCTCTGCCGGGTCTCTCTGCCGGGTCTCTCCGCCTGTCTCTCTCTCGTACACGTCATCTCCCATGTCAGCTGGAGTAAAACAAAAGCGTGTGTGTGCATGTGTGAGAGAAGAAGAGCCGCCGCAGAGGGATACACCGTATCCCTGGGTAGTCGTACATTCAGGTGTCGTGTGTGTCCCTCCATTAAACATGCATGTGGACGGGTGTCAAAGTGAAGTGGATCGTTAAGGTTAACTCAAGGTATAATTACATGTTAGGGAAGTCGGTCACAAGGGCACAGAACACACAGTTCCCATGTAGCCCCCATGTAAAACATGATCTGAGGCACTATTGTTGAAAAGGTGAAAAGGGATCCCATTTAGCAGACATTTTAGCACTCAATTCAATGTAACTGTGGGGTGTTTGGATGGATTGAAATGTCAGTTTTGAATTAGATAATGAGAAATGTTGAAGACGTACGATGGGGGAATGTAGTGTTATTTGGTTAATAAATAAAAATGCAAATGAGGTGTAATTTTAGAATGTCATATCTGTGATTCTCATGAGATCTCTCTCCTCCTGCTCTCTCTCCCTCTTTCTCCCTCTCCCCCGCTCTCTCCACCTTTACCTCCCCCTCCACCTTTACCTCCCCCTCCTATCTTCTCAATCACTGTCTCTCTCTGTCTTTCTCTCTCGCCAACTCCCCTTCTCTCTCTCTTCCGTCTCAGATCATTGTGCTGTGGAACTGTGACAAGCCTCTCCCTGCCAAGCACCACTGGCCTGCCACCTCTGTGCCCGTCATTGTCATCGAGGGAGAAAACAAGGTGAGCTGGGCCACCATTTTGGTTTCTCTACGCCTTCAAGTACAATACCTTCATTTTGGCTTCACTACGCCCCCAAGCGTTGTTCAGTGCCATCATTTTGGCGTATGTATGCTTTGATCATATGAGGACTTGACCACAGCGTTTATAAACCCAGAGGCCCAACATCACGATACTTCCGGGAACACTTCGAAGCAGACTCGTCAGACCAGACCGGGGTTTGTGGTTTGGGAAGTCAATGAGAGAAGCAAAAAATTATTCCTTAGTAGTTTATTTTCTCTATTTCTAAAGGCACAACCTAGATTCGAGACATTGTCTTAAAGGTGCTACACATAGAATTTCTCAGAATTTCTCCCCTGTGTGGAAGCTAGGTGAATTGCAACAGCACTAGGCTGCATTCAAAACAAATATCCCCCGCATCCCATTTCCCCGTAACATGGCGGAGACTCGGCTTGAGCCTTTTAGTTTCTGTTTTGGTCAACCAGCTTCAAACAGCTGTAAAAGAAAATATGTATTTTTGTTATTGAAAATATATTTCACAATGATTTAGATGGCACAATGATTTCCTACACTAGTCAGTACTTGTTTTCTCACATAAAAGGACATTTAGCGAACAGTGTAGAATTTTAGCAACCAGGAAACGACAGAGTGATTTCAACATTGGCCGCTTGATTCGATTTCCACTAGATAACACAGCCACAAAGTCAAAACAGCTTTCCCATTTTGACGGATGGAGAACTTAATAGGCAAATATCACAGCCAATCGCAACACTGGTGGGTAAGTAACACTGTGAAACACTATCTTTCCACTATTACTGCAGATATATTATGGACATTTTCTGCGTAGCACCTTTTAAGTAGCTGAACATGTTATTTCTCCAACCTCGTGAAATTGACAAACTGACACGTTTTCATTTAGTAAAAAACAACCTTATATTGAAGGAGCGCTTTTGATTTGACGGCATGATGTTCGGTGCGACACAACCGTTATACCTGATGACGTGTTTCCGCGCATGAGCTTAACTAGCTAACATCACCATGACATCTCCTTCAAGTGTGATCTGGGATTTCTATTGGAGAAGCAGTTTCTATTGTTTAGGTCGAGGAAATAATGTCCTAACAGATTGTTAGAGGTTATCTTGACAACGCTTTGGTCTGTCAGTGTTCCGTAGGGGGTTCGACTAAAGTGTCTTGGCCTCTCTATGCCCTCATCGTGAGAGGTAAAAGTTGACACAGGAAGTGTGATCTGTGCCAGTAGTTTGAGAGGCTGAAGTGTGGTGTTAGTCAGGCTCACTCTAACACCACAACTTTTGTTGAGCTGTCAATCAATTTGAGTGGTTTCTCTCACTCATCAGTCACAACGGAGCGGGCAGAGTTTTGATTTCTCCCCACATCTCTCTCCACCTCTCTGGTTTTCTTACGCTGTCAATCACAGAGGGAGCGTTGTCTTTGGCTGTGGGTCGGCGACAACGGCCGGAGTTGAATACCACCCAGGTCTGTGGTTTGTTGCGCTTGCGGCAGGCTCGTTGTTTACTGTGGCGGGCCCAGCCAAACATGGCGAACCTCTCTCTGAGCCACCAGCCCTGTAGTGGGTAGTATGAGTACAGAAGGAGAGAAGAGCTATTCCTGGCCTCTCTGGGCTGGAATGGTGGCCATGCGCCCTCTGCTTTACGACTCTTCAATTTAAGCCCCCGCGAGCCGCCCAGCAGTGTTATTGTGGTTTACACAACACATTTTGTTGGCCCTTTCTCGCTCGCTCGCTCGCTCGCTGTCTGTCTGTCTGTCTGTCTGTCTGTCTGTCTCTGTCTGTCTCTGTGTGTCACTCTCTCGCAGTCTTTCTTTACCCTCTCTCGCTATACGTCACTGTTTTTCTCTCTTTTCCTATCTCCCTCTTTCTTTCTTCCTCTCCCTCCCTCTCTCTCCCTCTCTCTCTCTCTCCTTCGCCCTCCATCTCCTTCCCTCTCTCTCTCGCTCTCTGAGGAGTGCTGGAGGCTGATTCCTCCTCTAAGAGCTTGCATTGCATTCCTAGTGCGTACGAGCCCTCCCAGGCGAACGTGTCACACTTCTAACGTTACAAACCATCTGTGATGAGTCTCTCATCCTCAATCCCTCCCCCCCCTCTCGCTCTCTCTCTTTTCTCCTCTATTTTCCCACCACGTCAGTGGAAATGCGAAGAACGGAACGGAGGGGAAGGATTTTTTTCATTTTTTTCTTTTGGCCCGTCTGAGCGACTAAAACGTGGCTGGGAATTGTAGACATATTGAGTCAATTGTGTTGTCAAGTCGTTTAGTTGTTTTTGCCACACTTCTCTGCCACATACAGTTACACACAGCACACAGCGATCTGATGAGTCATTCGGCTCAGTGTGTTTAGTTCAGGGCACTTTGTGGCAGCGGTCGGTGGGTATGACGTGTTGTGAAGAAAAGAGGCCACCTGTGTATTTCTGACACATCAGCCTCTGTCCTCTAGCCTCTCTACCCAACGCTTCATGCATTATACACACACACACTATACTTTATATAAACTGCAACTTTTCGAAAGATTCTTGGAATGACCCGACCTTCAGTGCTGAGTCTTTCTCCAGAGAAAAGGTTACAAGGAAGTGGGTGGTGGCTGTTATACAAAGCGTTTGAAATGGGGGGAGCGCGTGTGTGTGACGCGTGTGTAGCGTGTGTGGTTCTCTGGCTGAATGTGAGTGTGGGAGGTGTTTGATTTCTAGTGAATATAAACTCTGCAAAAAAAGAAACGTCCCTTTTTCAGGACCCTGTCTTTCAAAGATAATTCGTAAAAATCCAAATAACTTCACAGATCTTCATTGTAAAGGGTTTAAACACTGTTTCCCATGCTTGTTCAATGAACCATAAACAATTAATGAACATGCATCTGTGGAATGGTCGTTAAGACACTAACAGCTTACAGATGGTAGGCAATTAAGGTCACAGTTATGAAAACTTAGGACACTAAAGAGGCCTTTCTACTGACTCTGAAAAACACCAAAAGAAAGATGCCCAGGGTCCCTGCTCATCTGCGTGAACGTGCCTTAGGCATGCTGCAAGGAGGCATGAGGACTGCAGATGTGGCCAGGGCAATAAATTGCAATGTCCGTACTGTGAGACGCCTAAGACAGCGCTACAGGGAGACAGGATGGACAGCTGATCGTCCTCGCAGTGGCAGACCACGTGTAACAACACCTGCACAGGATCATTACATCCGAACATCACACCTGCGGGTCAGGTACAGGATGGCAACAACAACTGCCCGAGTTACACCAGGAACGCACAATCCCTCCATCAGTGCTCAGACTGTCCGCAATAGGCTGAGAGAGGCTGGACTGAGGGCTTGTAAGCCTGTTGTAAGGCAGGTCCTCAGCAGACATCACCGGCAACAATGTCGCCTATGGGCACAAACCCACCATCGCTGGACCAGACAGGACTGGCAAAAAGTGCTCTTCACTGATGAGTCGCGGTTTTGTCTCACCAGGGGTGATGGTCAGATTTGCGTTTATCGTCGAAGGAATGAGCGTTACACCGAGGCCTGTACTCTGGAGTGGGATCAATTTGGAGGTGGAGGGTCCGTCATGGTCTGGGGCGGTGTGTCACAGCATCATCGGACTGAGCTTGTTGTCATTGCAGGCAATCTCAACGCTGTGCGTTACAGGGAAGACATCCTCCTCCCTCATGTGGTACCCTTCCTGCAGGCTCATCCTGACATGACCCTCCAGCATGACAATGCCACCAGCAAAACTGCTCGTTCTGTGTGTGATTTCCTGCAAGACAGGAATGTCAGTCTTCTGCCATGGCCAGCGAAGAGCCCGGATCTCAAACCCATTGAGCACATCTGGGACCTGTTGGATCGGAGGGTGAGGGCTAGGGCCGTTCCCCCCAGAAATGTCTGGGAACTTGGAGGTGCCTTGGTGGAAGAGTGGGGTAACATATCACCGCAAGAACTGGCAAATCTGGTGCAGTCCATGAGGAGGAGAAACACTGCAGTACTTAATGCAGCTGATGGCCACACCAGATACTGACTGTTACTTTTGATTTTGACCCCCCCTTTGTTCAGGGACACATTATTCAATTTCTGTTAGTCACATGTCTGTGGAACTTGTTCAGTTTATGTCTCAGTTGTTGAATCTTGTTATGTTCATACAAATATTTACACATGTTAAGTTTGCTCAAAATAAACGCAGTTGCCAGTGAGAGGACGTTTCTTTTTTTGCTGAGTTTACATACACTTAAGTGTGTGTTTATCCACCCTTGGCATTTATCTCAGTAAATGTATGTACTGTATATATATCCACATAATCATTAAGACAATATTTTACCTACCCAGTGTGGCCCTCCACACACCCACCATCCCTCTGCTACCCGTACTATATATTTTGTAATTATTTAAAGCTGTCACAGTCAGGAAAGGGAAATGAATGTAAGATATGAGGGCTAGTGTGTGTGTTTGTTTGTAGGATTTCACATTATTCAAGCGAATATTCTCAATCCAATCTATTCTATAGGTGAAGTTTCCACCATATCTTTACCATATTCATAACTGGTCACAAAAGGAATGTAGAAGACTAAAGGAACCCATTAATTCATGGGACGACTCTATCCAGTGCTTTATGTATTGGCATCCCACCCTTGTGCTGTTATAATATATAATAATATATGCCAATTAGCAGATGCTTTTATTCAAAGCGACTTAGTCATGCGTGCATACATTTTACGTACGGGTGGTGCCCGGAATCGAACCCGCTATCCTGGCGTTGCAACCACCATGCTCTACCAACTGAGCTACAGAGTGCTGACCCTGTGTGCTCTCGGTCTCTCCTTGCAGGTGATGAGCAGTCGCTTCCTGCCCTACGAGACCATGGTTACCGACGCCGTGCTCAGTCTGGATGAGGACACAGTGCTCTCGACCACAGAGGTTAGTGTTCCTCCACACATCACTATGGATACTGCCTACTACTATGTTGGAATGGGGGACTACTTTCTCTCTAGAGCGCTGGTACTCTCCCCTGCTTTTCTACCCTTGAACTCCTTGCTTTTTTAAACTCGCCTCACTCCACCTCATGCTGTTGTTCTTTTGTTTTACTGGCTACTCTCTCTCCTCATGTAGCTCCCCAGACTATCCCCCTTTCCACCTTCTCTCTTTCTCTCCTCTCTCTTTCCCTGTCTGCCTCTGTATCTTTCCCCTACATCTCTCTCTCCATCTCTCAACCCTCTTTCTTTCTCTCTCTCTTCCCTCCCTCCCTGTAAGTGTAGTGGCCAGCCAGGCTGCTGGGGCCTCTGCTCCGCTCTGTTCTGCTGATGGGGATAATGTCACCATTGGCATGACTCCAGGGCCCTCAGTGCTTTGTGTGGCGCTGTGTCAGCACAAGGACCAGTGGTATAATGCTATTTTTTTTTAGGTGCGGGAGTGCAAAGAAAATATGTAAATGACGTCAGAATTTCCTCAAAGTTTGTACCGACAGATGTAGCCAATTGGATAGCATCTGCCTATGCCCACACATATTGTCTAAAGAACATTTTCTATTTTTAATACCCTCAAACACCAAGTTAGGGATAGGCTACCTAATTTCAAAATAGGCAATGATAATTCTTCACATTTTTACCGGTGAAACTTCATCTCCATTCCAATCATTTGATTAATCTCAATCAGTTTCATGGGAGTGTGCATTTAGATCTTCTTGAATTACTGTTTTGTGAGCGAATTAGAGAAGACAGTGTTAAACCATTAGCCTTTCTTGTATTTTGTTTCAATCTAAGCATATATCCTGCCTAGTGGCTTGTTCTTTTTCAGCTTCAGCTAACCATCCTAAAATCTCATTAGAAATGATAAGCTGTTTCTGGTGTAGCAGTAACATTATAGGCCTACTATGCTATGGTATTATATTCGGTTCTGTTATGAAACATGCACATGAATCATTATGTGATCTTGCTAGACATTGATTCAGCTTTGATCTAACTTTACTGAACGAGCGCCATTGTGAGACGTGATAATCTTCTATTTGTAATAATAATAAGTGATGAGTATGACTATTAGGCGTAGGCAACAGATCTTGATGAGAAATCATTTAAAGTGGTGCTGAAGGATAGCTCTGCCATTCGGCCAGTTCAGAAACAAACAACAATAATTTACAGTATAGCTTAACAGGCCTACGACTACATGGTATAGCTATTTGTAGGGTATAGCCTAATGTAAATACAAATAGCTTAATATCATTGCACTGTTTGCGTGGAGAGCTTTATTGCGAGTTTCATTGTATTGTGTAGCTTACACGCTGTATCATTTGATTAGCTTAAACACATGGTTACAATATACCCTATTACAGAATAAAAGAAAACAGAGAGATGAACTATCAAATGACAAAGTAGTGAACATAAATCATTACTCTGTAGAATTCCAGGAAATTTGTTTTAAAACAGCCATAAAATCAAGCTTTTGGTGTGGTGTATTCATGCATCTCAAAAAACTATAACCTTAAATGCGTTATTACCTCCAACTTGGCTCAATTCACATTTCCAATTGCCCACCCTGACATACCAAGCTAGAACGGGCCCTGCGTCTCAACCAATAGCCAATGTAGGCTAAATATCCCACGCAGGGCTACAGCAACTTTTAGAAAGGGTCAGGCTCCTTGGGCTTTGCGGTGTCCATTCTGGTTTGGGTGTCCTTGGAAGAACGGCGTCGCCTTAACCAAGTGGTCACACATCATTCTGGGTTCCACTGCGCAAGAGGGGGTCCGTGGAGTTTTATGAACATCAAGGCAGACACACAGTGACTTTGGATATTTTTTTAACGTTCTGATTGGCCAAAGTGGTCAAGCCTCCGACAGGCCTCCGCAGTGCACACACGTAGCCTATAGTTCATAATTCTCGCCACCGTCAGAGAAAAGACAGGAAGAAACCACCATTTACCTACCTCTAGGCTGCTATATATATTTATTTGATTTGTCATTCTATAGTTTTTCATGGAGTTTTAGTAGTAATTAAATAGAATTTACTTCGAATTTATCAGAATACGTCTTTCAGAAATGGTTTTACCAGCTGTGTATTCTCAAATTGGAAATAGAGAGGGAGCGCCACTCCTCCACGCTTCGCCAGCACTACTCACCTGACAGGGACCAAGGCTGGCTGGCTGGCTGGGCCTCTGTAGCTCAATTGGTAGAGCATGGCGCTTGTAACGCCAGTGTAGTGGGTTCAATCCCCGGGACCACCCATATGTAAAAATGTATGCACACATGACTATAAGTCGCTTTGGATAAAAGCGTCTGCTAAATGGCATATTAAATATTATATTAAATTATGAGAGTACAGAGGTAGGGAGAGAGCGAGTGAAAGTATAGAGCGCTCCAAACCTCCCTCTCTCACTGCTTCGCTCTGTGTCACTTTTGTCCCACATGCAACTTTCTCTTCCTCCCTCTCTTATATAGTACGTAGCGATCTCCCCTTTTCTCTCTGGTATTTTGCCCTCTTCTTAACTCTAGCAGTTTCTCTATTGATCTCTTTCTCTATCCCTCCAACTCCTTACACTTTTCTCAATTTCTTGCTCTCCCCGTCTCTCTCTTTCTCTACATCTCTCTCTGTCTAATTGTCATCTTTAATCACATTGTGATCCCCTGCATATTGAGGAACCCAACATTGTGGCCACCAAGTGCTGTTTAATTTCTCCTTCCTGGGGTGGCTTTTCTCTTCATTCCTCGAGCACAGAGTTTGGCATAATACCATGAGAACACAGATGTTGACAGGATTTTGAGTGGGAGCCCATAAAGGCTGTTTTTGTGGCGACCGTGTGGCTGTGTTATTATACACTCTTAATTCAGTCTCTGGTGGAGGCACTCTATTCGTCCAAAATGGCACCCTATTCCTTACATAGAGCACTACTTTTGACCACTTGACTACAAAAATAGTGCACTATATTGGGAGTAAGGTGTCATTTGGGACGCAGGCTCTGTTTGTGTGGCTGCTGCTGGAACCAGCCAGACTCCGTCTGATGTTTTCTCTAATTATTTGTTTAAATGCTTTGATCAACCAGCGAGAGGTCAGCCAACTGAAGAGGGCATTTGAAAACACATTTTTGTAATAAGATGTCTGTTTGTGTTATGAGTTGTGATTGTGTGTGTGCGCACATGTGCGTGCCTGCGTGGTGTGTTGAGGCATTCGAGAGAGGGTGTGTGTGTATGTCTATGCCTGGAGAGAATGTGCCTTCATAGTGTATAAATGTACAGTGGGGAAAAAAAGTATTTAGTCAGCCACCAATTGTGCAAGTTCTCCCACTTAAAAAGATGGAGAGGCCTGTAATTTTCATCATAGGTACACGTCAACTATGACAGACAAAATGAGAAAAAAAAATCCAGAAAATCACATTGTAGGATTTTTTATGAATTTATTTGCAAATTATGGTGGAAAATAAGTATTTGGTCAATAACAAAAGTTTATCAATACTTTGTTGTATACCCTTTGTTGGCAATGACACAGGTCAAACGTTTTCTGTAAGTCTTCACAAGGTTTTCACACACTGTTGCTGGTATTTTGGCCCATTCCTCCATGCAGATCTCCTCTATAGCAGTGATGTTTTGGGGCTGTCGCTGGGCAACACAGACTTTCAACTCCCTCCAAAGATTTTCTATGGGGTTGAGATCTGGAGACTGGCTAGGCCACTCCAGGACCTTGAAATGCTTCTTACGAAGCCACTCCTTCATTGCCCGGGCGGTGTGTTTGGGATCATTGTCATGCTGAAAGACCCAGCCACGTTTCATCTTCAATGCCCTTGCTGATGGAAGGAGGTTTTCACTCAAAATCTCACGATACATGGCCCCATTCATTCTTTCCTTTACACGGATCAGTCGTCCTGGTCCCTTTGCAGAAAAACAGCCCCAAAGCATGATGTTTCCACCCCCATGCTTCACAGTAGGTATGATGTTCTTTGGATGCAACTCAGCATTCTTTGTCCTCCAAACACGACGAGTTGAGTTTTTACCAAAAAGTTATATTTTGGTTTCATCTGACCATATGACATTCTCCCAATCCTCTTCTGGATCATCCAAATGCACTCTAGCAAACTTCAGACGGGCCTGGACATGTACTGGCTTAAGCAGGGGGACACGTCTTGCACTGCAGGATTTGAGTCCCTGGCGGCGTAGTGTGTTACTGATGGTAGGCTTTGTTACTTTGGTCCCAGCTCTCTGCAGGTCATTCACTAGCTCCCCCCGTGTGGTTCTGGGATTTTTGCTCACCGTTCTTGTGATCATTTTGACTCCACGGGGTGAGATCTTGCGTGGAGCCCCAGATCGAGGGAGATTATCAGTGGTCTTGTATGTCTTCCATTTCCTAATAATTGCTCCCACAGTTGATTTCTTCAAACCAAGCTGCTTACCTATTGCAGATGCAGTCTTCCCAGCCTGGTGCAGGTCTACAATTTTGTTTCTGGTGTCCTTTGACAGCTCTTTGGTCTTGGCCATAGTGGAGTTTGGAGTGTGACTGTTTGAGGTTGTGGACAGGTGTCTTTTATACTGATAACAAGTTCAAACAGGTGCCATTAATACAGGTAACGAGTGGAGGACAGAGGAGCCTCTTAAAGAAGAAGTTACAGGTCTGTGAGAGCCAGAAATCTTGCTTGTTTGTAGGTGACCAAATACTTATTTTCCACCATAATTTGCAAATAAATTCATTAAAAATCCTACAATGTGATTTTCTGGATTTTTCTTTCTCATTTTGTCTGTCATAGTTGACGTGTACCTATGATGAAAATTACAGGCCTCTCTCATCTTTTTAAGTGGGAGAACTTGCACAATTGGTGGCTGACTAAATACTTTTTTTCCCCACTGTATGTTGAAGGGATACTTCAGGATTTTGGCAATAAGGTGCTTTATCTACTTCCCCAGAGTCCGATGAACTTGTGGATACCATTATTATGTCTCTGCGTGCAGTTTGAAGGAAGTTGCTAACTAGCGCTAGCGCAATTGCTAACTTGCGTCAGCACAATGACTTGAAGTCTATGGTATCTGCAAGCAAGTCATTGCGCTAACGCTAGTTAGCATTGACTCGTGAAATTCCCGCTAACTTCTTTCATACTGAACGCAGACATAAAAATGGTATCCACAAGTTCATCTGACTCTGGGGAAGTAGATAAAGGGCCTCATTGTCAAAATCCCAAAGTATCTCTTTAATAACATGATGCTTTGTCTTCCTCCTCAGGTGGACTTTGCCTTCACGGTTTGGCAGAGCTTTCCAGAGCGGTTGGTGGGCTACCCGGCCCGGAGCCACTTCTGGGACAGTAACAAGGAGCGCTGGGGCTACACTTCCAAGTGGACCAACGACTACTCCATGGTGCTGACCGGAGCTGCCATCTACCACAGGTACAGAAAGCTACAGTACAAGCTCTGGGGTGAAGCTTCCCCTAGGTATAGATCTAGGATCAGCTTCCCCTCCCCCAATCCTTAGCTTAACCTTTAGTAGGGGAAATGCAAAACTGACCCAAGATCAGTGTCTAGGGGCAACTTCACCCTACTATACAGTACATCACTACCAGCAGTGCTTGACATGGACTGAAATGGGTGCCGGTACTTATTTTGGATAATGGTACTGTTTATATTTAGGTGCAGGAACTCCACAATACCTTTGAGCTAATATTCTATAAGAGGTGCAGGAAGACAAGCAGTAGAGAACTTGAGGTGCCGGTACTCTGGTCCGGTGACCTGTCCAAGTCAAAGCACTGACTACCAGTGGAGGCTGGTGGAGGAAGAAATCGGAGGACGGGCTCATTGTAATGGCTGGAAAGGTATCAAAGACAATTGAAAGTGACATCAGCCTGAACTGAACACTACTGTAGGAAGTAGCCTGAGGCCACATACGTCAGTCATGTTGAGTGGAGCATGATAGATCCTGTTCCAAACCTCATTACATTGTCTTTTTCATACAGTTGTTCAACAAAGACTCAATTCAGCACTGTCTATAAAACTGACATTGAACTGTTTGATTAGCTTTGATTAACTCAATCGAATAAATCGATTCAAACTCGATCTTGAGTGCATCCCAGATCTTTCCAAGCACTTCCAAATCACCCTCTCGACTCTTCTTCTTCTCCCTCTCCAGATATTACCACTTCCTGTTCACTAATTTATTCTTCCTCCTCAGATATTACCACTTCCTGTACACAAACTTCCTGCCTGCCAGCCTGAAGGGTTTGGTGGACCAGCTGGCCAACTGTGAGGACATCCTCATGAACTTCCTGGTGTCAGCTGTCACCAAGCTGCCGCCCATCAAGGTCACCCAGAAGAAGCAGTACAAAGAGACCATGATGGGACAGGTATGTATTATAACACATTATAAACTGGGTAGTTTGGGTACTGGATGCTGATTGGCTGAAACAGCATTTCAGCCATGTGTATATCAGACAATATACTTACGGGTATGATGCAAAAATACTTGTTTACTGTTCTATTTATCTTTACTGTTCTAATTACGTTGGTAAACGAAAAGGTAATGGGTTCGCACACAAAAAGATGTCGCATAAAGCTTACTGCTCGCTCCCGTACCCTATAATTCTGTATTTCTTTGTGACTAATTTGTATACAGGTAGATCAGAAAAGCCACATCCCTGATTGGCAGATGAGTGGCAACCCTGATTAGAAGCACCTGCTGCTCATCGGTTGTTCTTTACAAATACTGTTTTGAATTAAAATTCAATTGTACCTACACACTGAAAAAGGCTGTAAAGCCGAAACGTCTGCGTACGCTATCCTTGCTGCAGTGAACATTATTTTAAAAATCAAATAATGAAGTAAGCTTTCTGCAACATCTTTTTGAGTGCGAACCCATTACACCTTTTTGTTTGTCTGAATTTGCGTGTTTTACTCACCAGCCAAGCTTCTGGGAGAGTGTGATGGTTCTCTCTTGATTACTAATCACGTTGGTAACCAGTTTATAATAGCAATAAGGCAGCAACCTTGGGGGTTTGTGGTATATGGCCAATATACCACATGTGTCTCAGGTGAAGAGGGTGGATCTGATCTCCATCACCTAGGACTTGACATAGATTAAGTAGATTAATCAAATCTCACATTGTTATCAATTTCTGCTCAATCTGCATGCTTTCTCAATCAGCTTTAACTGTATGTGCACTCGTAAATCAGGTTATTTCTCGAGTTGGGCTCTGGGATATAACAGCCGTTGAGTATCTGATTTTATGGTGGATTGTGGAGGAGGGGGGTTGAGTGTGTTGGAGTATGTGAGTATGTGCGTGTGTGCTTGTCTGGCATCTGTTGTGGGGGGGAGGGGGTATGGGATGGACCACGGGAATTATTTGCTAGGATAATAATTGCTTGTCAATGAATTAAATGTAATACAATGGCAATCCGGGTTATATGTTAGAATCCTACGCGTGAACTGTGGGTGGGATGCTGATCACTGGGATGACGGCTCAACTTGGGATGGGGAGGGGCTTTAGCGGGTGAATTAGTGGAGAACAATTGAAGGGTTACTCCGTAGCAATGCAAATATCACGGTACAGCTATATGGACACTCAATCATTACGGTATTTTTTATTGGTAAATTTACAAACATATATATAATGATAAATAGACTTGAAACTTGTATCTCATTATGGTGTATGGTGAAATAAGTATAGCCAGTTATAATTGTAATGGCTTAGCTGATAATAACAAAAGAAGAACAATATTTACATGGCTCAAAGAGAAGGAATATAATATCTATTGTATACAGGAAACTCATTCAACAATTCGAGATGAAGTAGCGTGGAAAAAAGAATGGGGTGGGTGAATATACTTCTCCCATGGGCAAAGAAATTCAAAAGGGGTGATGATATTAATTAATAGTAATTTTGATCCGAATGTGCAAATTGTCAAAATAGATACGCAAGGTAGATGGATTATTTTAAATATGTTATTGGACCATAAACAGATATGGCCCATTAACCTTTACGGACCAAATAATGATGATCCACAATTCTTTGACAATATATATAATAAATTATCAACCCTGCAAGCAATTCAAGACAATATTATTATGGTGGGGGATTATAATACTGTTTTAAATAGCTCAATGGACCGTAAAGGAAATCACACCACAAACAATCACCCACATGCTCTTAAGGAAATTGTGAATGTCATGGATACATTAGAACTAGTAGATATATGGAGGCTTAAATATACTGATCTAGTGAGATATACATGGCGGAGACTGAATCAAGCTAGTCGTCTTGACTTCTTTCTTATCTCATTCTCGTTGGCACCAAAAGTAAAAAAAAGTGTTGATAGGGGACAGAATGCGGTCGGACCATCATATAATAGGCATATACATTACTCTTACTGAATTTCCACGTGGGCGAGGATATTGGAAATGTAATCAAAGCCTATTGGATGATAATTTATTTATAATTAGAACAAAGGAATTTATAACTGACTTTTTCCAACATAACATAGGTACAGCGAATCCCCTTATTGTATGGGATACCTTTAAATGTGCAATATATTATTTAAAAAATAAAAGTGTAATATATTATTAAAATAAAGCAAACTGGATGGAATATGGGGAAAAATGCACAAAATTCTTTTTTAATCTTCAACATAGGAATGCTACCAAAAAGAACTTAATGAAACTGGTTACAATTGACGGAGTCACCCATAATTCACCAAATGATATTTTGAAGGAAGAAACAAAGTACTTTAAGCATATGTTTTATTTTCAGTCGCCTCCATCTCCTCTAACTGAAGCTAATTGTAGAGATTTTTTTTCTATTGATAATGTCAAATTAACAGCCACACAGAAAGACTCATGTGAAGGTGAAATTACAGAGGAGGAACTTCTGGATGCAATTAAAGACTTTAAGTCTGGGAAAACTCCAGGGTTGGATGGTATACCAAACCTTTTTTGATATACTAAGAGGACCGTTATTAGCATGTTTTAACCACTCCTATGTAAATGGTAGATTATCTGACACTCAAGAAGAAGGTCTGATCTCATTATTACTGAAACAGGATACAAGTGGAAAATATAAAGATCCAGTCCATTTACAAAATTGGAAGCCCCTTACACTTCAGTGTTGTGATGCAAAAATCCTAGCAAAATGTATAGCGCATAGAATTAAAAAGGTATTGTCGGATATTATTCATTCTAATCAGACAGGTTTTTTACATGGAAGATACATTGGAGATAATATAAGGCAAGTATTGGAAACAATAGAACACTATGGAAAATATGAGAAACCAGGCCAACTATTCATAGCAGACTTCGAAAAGGCATTTGATAAAGTTCGACTGGGGTTTATATATAAATGCCTGGAGCATTTCAATTTTGGAGAATCTCTTATAAAATGGGTCAAAATCATGTATAGTAACCCTAGGTGTAAAATAGTAAATAATGGCTATTTCTCAGAAAGTTTTAAACTGTCAAGAGGAGTGAAACAAGGTTGTCCACTATCGGCATATCTATTTATTGTGGCCATCGAGATGTTAGCTATTAAAATCAGATCCAATAATAATATCAGAGGATTAGAAATCCAGGGCTTAAAAACAAAGGTGTCATTGTACGCTGATGATTCATGTTTTCTTTTAAATCCACAACTAGAATCCCTCCACAGACTCATAGAGGATCTAGATACAGTTTCTAACCTCTCTGGATTACAACCAAATTATGACAAATGTACTATATTACGTATTGGATCACTAAAAAATACAATTTTTACATTACCATGTAGTTTACCAATAAAATGGTCTGATGGTGATGTGGATATATTCGGAATACATATCCCAAAGGAAATAAATGATCTCACTTCAATGAATTTTAATAGAAAGTTAGCAAAAAGAGATAAGATCTTACTACCATGGAAAGGAAAATACCTGTCAATTTGTGGAAAAATCACCCTGATTAACTCTTTAGTATTATCCCAGTTTACCTATTTGCTTATGGTCTTGCCTACGCCTAGCGAACAGTTTTTTAAATTATATGAGAAAAAAATATTCAATTTTATTTGGAACGGCAAGCCAGACAAAATTAAAAGGGCATATTTATATAATGAATATGATTTCGGAGGACAAAAATTATTAAATATTAAAGCATTAGACCTCTCACTAAAAGCTTCAGTCATACAAAAGTTATACTTAAATCCGAACTGGTTCTCAAGCAAATTAGTAAGATTGTCTCACCCAATGTTCAAGAAAGGCCTTTTTCCCTTTATTCAGATTACAACAACTCATTTGCAGTTATTTGAAAAGGAAATCATCTCCCAAATATCACTATTTCTAAAACAAGCTATAGAAAGTTGGTTGCAATTTCAATTTAATCCTCCAGAAACGACAGAACAAATAATGCAACAAATATTGTGGTTAAATTCAAATATACTAATTGACAAAAAACCTTTATTTTTTGACAGAATGTTTAAAAAAGGTATAATCTTCGTAAATTATATCATCGGTAGGACTGGTGGAGTTATGTCGCACATGCAGCTAACAAAAACATATGGAAATGTCTGCTCTACCCAAAATTACAACCAAGTAATTGCAGCCTTACCGCAAAAGTGGAAGAGGAAAGTGGAAGGGGGAGAAAGTAAGGAACTTGTCTGTCGGCCTTGCATTAAAGAACATAATTGGTTAAGGAAAACTGTGATAAATAAAAAAGTAAATCAGTTTCACTTAAGGACCAAAGGATTGACAGCCGTCCCATATAGATTGCAAAATAGTTGGGAAGAGATCTTTGACGTACCGATCGCATGGCATAGTGTTTATGAACTGACACGCAAAACGACACCGGATTCAAAAATTAGAATCTTTCAATTTAAATTATTATATAAAATTCTTGCTACCAATAGAATGTTATTTATATGGGGGATACAATCTTCCCAGCTCTGCAGATTTTGCTGTGAAGAGACAGAATCATTAGATCATTTGTTTTGGTTCTGTCCATTTGTAGCTTGTTTTTGGACACAGGTCCAGGAATGGCTAAAGGATTGCAATATTTACCTGGAGCTAACCTTGCAGATAGCATTACTGGGTGATCTGAAAAGTCATAGTCAATCGATCAATAATATAATAATACTTTTAGCAAAAATGTTTATTATAACCTGGCATTGTTGAATACTCGTTTCTGATTGGCTTGAAGGGCATTCTAGAGCGTGCATTATTTCCCTGTAATTCATGTTATAATTAGATGGCTATGAAGTTCATTCTTACATGTTATATGTTTGAGCTGCTTTTGAAAGCAAAAGTCGAATTGAAAACATAATTGCCGTTGTTGAATTCGATTTTCATTATAGCATGCTAGGACTGATGGTTTGGTTAGTTAAAGTTAAAGGGCAACTCCACCACTTTTCAACCAAATTTTCATTGTGTCCAGCACAATACCAGTGTCAACATACAGTGGGGAGAACAAGTATTTGATACTTTATTTATTATAATTTTTTTTTCACCTTTATTTAACCAGGTAAGCCAGTTGAGAACAGGTTCTCATTTACAACTGCGACCTGGCCAAGATAAAGCAAAGTAGTGCAATAAAAACAACACAGAGTTACATATGGGGTAAAAAACATAAAGTCAGAAATACAACAGAAAATATATATACAGTGTGTGCAAATGTAGCAAGTTATGGAGGTAAGGCAATAAATAGGCTATAGTGCAGAATAATTACAATAGTATTAACACTGGAATGCTAGATGTGCAAGAGATTATGTGCAAATAGAGACACTGGGGTGCAAAAGAGCAAAATAAATAACAATATAGGGATGAGGTAGTTGGGTGGGCTAATTTCAGATGGGCTGTGTACAGGTGCAGTGATCGGTAAGGTGCTCTGACAACTGATGCTTAAAGTTATTGAGGGAGATAAGAGTCTCCAGCTTCAGAGATTTTTGCAATTCGTTCCAGTCATTGGCAGCAGAGAACTGGAAGGAATGGCGGCCAAAGGAGGTGTTGGCTTTGGGAATGACCAGTGAGATATACCTGCTGGAGCGCAGACTACGGGTGGGTGCTGCTATGGTGACCAATGAGCTAAGATAAGGCGGGGATTTGCCTAGCAATGATTTATAGATGGCCTGGAGCCAGTGGGTTTGACGACGAACATGTAGTGAGGACCAGCCAACAAGAGCGTACAGGTCACAGTGGTGGGTAGTGTATGGGGCTTTGGAGACAAAACGGATGGCACTGTGATAGACTACATCCAATTTGCTGAGTAGAGTGTTGGAGGCTATTTTGTAAATGACATCGCCGAAGTCAAGGATCGGTAGGATAGTCAGTTTTACGAGGGCATGTTTGGCAGCATGAGTGAAGGAGGCTTTGTTGCGAAATAGGAAGCCGATTCTAGATTTAACTTTGGATTGGAGATTCTTTATGTGAGTCTGGAAGTTGAGTTTACAGTCTAACCAGACACCTAGGTATTTGTAGTTGTCCACATACTCTAGGTCAGACCCGTCGAGAGTGGTGATTCTAGTCGGGTGGGCGGGTGCCAGCAGCGTTTGATTTAAAAGCATGCATTTAGTTTTACTAGTGTTTAAGAGCAGTTGGAGGCTAGTGAAGGATTGTTGTATGGCATTGAAGCTCGTTTGGAGGTTTGTTAACATAGTGTCCAATGAAGGGCCAGATGTATACAAAATGGTGTCGTCTGCGTAGAGGTGGATCTGAGAGTCACCAGCAGCAAGAGCGACATCATTGATATACACAGAGAAAAGTGTCGGCCCAAGAATTGAACCCTGTGGCACCCCCATAGAGACTGCCATAGGTCCAGACAACAGGCCCTCCAATTTGACACACTGAACTCTATCTGAGAAGTAGTTGGTGAACCAGGCGAGGCAGTCATTTGAGAAACCAAGGCTATTTAGTCTGCCAATAAGAATGCGGTGGTTGACAGAGTCGAAAGCCTTGGCCAGGTCGATGAAGACGGCTGCACAGTACTGTCTATTATCAATCGCGGTTATAATATCGTTTAGGACCTTGAGCGTGGCTGAAGTGCACCCGTGACCAGCTCGGAAACCGGATTGCATAGCGGAGAAGGTACGGTGGTATTCGAAATGGTCGATGATCTGTTTGTTAACTTGGCTTTCGAATACTTTCGAAAGGCAGGGCAGGATGGATATAGGTCTGTAGCAGTTTGGATCTAGAGTGTCACCCCCTTTGAAGAGGGGGATGACCGCGGCAGCTTTCCAATCTCTGGGGATCTCAGACGTTATGAAAGAGAGGTTGAACAGACTAGTAATAGGGGTTGCGACAATTTCGGCGGCTAGTTTTAGAAAGAAAGGGTCCAGATTGTCTAGCCCAGCTGATTTGTAGGGGTGATACACTGCTGATTTTGCAGGTTTTCCTACTTACAAAGCATGTAGAGGTCTGTAATTTTTATCATAGGTACACTTCAACTGTGAGAGACGAAATCTAAAACAAAAATCCAGAAAATCACATTGTATGATTTTTAAGTAATTAATTTGCATTTTATTGCATAACATAAGTATTTGATCACCTACCAACCAGTAAGAATTCCGGCTCTCACAGACCTGTTAGTTTTGCTTTAAGAAGTCCTCCTGTTCTCCACTCATTACCTGTATTAACTGCACCTGTTTGAACTTGTTACCTGTATAAAAGACACCTGTCCACACACTCAATCAAACAGACTCCAACCTCTCCACAATGGCCAAGACCAGAGAGCTGTGTAAGGACATTAGGGATAAAATTGTAGACCTGCACAAGGCTGGGATGGGCTACAGGACAATAGGCAAGAAGCTTGGTGAGAAGGCAATAACTGTTGGCGCAATTATTAGAAAATGGAAGAAGTTCAAGATGACGGTCAATCACACTGGGTCTGGGGCCCCATGCAAGATCTCACCTCGTGGGGCATCAATGATCATGAGGAAGGTGAGGGATCAGCCCAGAACTACACGGCAGGACCTGGTCAATGACCTGAAGAGAGCTAGGACCACAGTCTCAAAGAAAACCATTAGTAACACACTACGCCGTCATGGATTAAAATCCTGCAGCACACGCAAGGTCCCCCTGCTCAAGCCAGCGCATGTCCAGGTCCGTCTGAAGTTTGCCAATGACAATCTGGATGATCCAGAGGAGGAATGGGAGAAGGTCATGTGGTCTGATGAGACAAAAATATAGCTTTTTGGTCTAAACTCCACTCGCCGTGTTTGGAGGAAGAAGAAGGATGAGTACAACCCTAAGAACACCATCCCAACCGTGAAGCATGGAGGTGGAAACATCATTATTTGGGGATGCTTTTCTGCAAAGGGGACAGGACGACTGCACCGTATTGAGGGGAGGATGGATGGGGCCATGTATCGCGAGATCTTGGCCAACAACCTCCTTCCCTCAGTAAGAGCATTGAAGATGGGTCGTGGCTGGGTCTTCCAGCATGACAACGACCCGAAACACACAGCCAGGGCAACTAAGGAGTGGCTCCGTAAGAAGCATCTCAAGGTCCTGGAGTGGCCTAGCCAGTCTCCAGACCTGAACCCAATAGAAAATCTTCGGAGGGAGCTGAAAGTCCGTATTGCCCAGCGACAGCCCCGAAACCTGAAGGATCTGGAGAAGGTCTGTATGGAGGAGTGGGCCAAAATCCCTGCTGCAGTGTGTGCAAACCTGGTCAAGACCTACAGGAAACGTATGATCTCTGTAATTGCAAACCAAGGTTTCTGTACCAAATATTAAGTTCTGCTTTTCTGATGTATCAAATACTTATGTCATGCAATAAAATGCAAATTAATTACTTAAAAATCATACAATGTGATTTTCTGAATTTTTGTTTTAGATTCCGTCTCTCACAGTTGAAGTGTACCTATGATAAAAATTACAGACTTCTACATGCTTTGTAAGTAGGAAAACTTGCAAAATCGGCAGTGTATCAAATACTTGTTCCCCCCACTGTATGTGAAAAAGTTCCACCCTGATGACATAAAAAATTAAAACATTTTAAAAAGAGTGATTTTCAAACAGTTACAGATTCGCGGTGACGTGGGGAGCAAGAAATTGCCCTCCCTTGGGCTAGAAACATGTTGCCGGTTTTGAAAATCACCGTTTGTTTTACTTATCCTACCCTGTGATGTGACAGAGAAGCATTTTTTGTGGGACTTTCCTTTTTAACCACAGATCATAGAAACACGCTGTTTCACATACAGTGGGGGAAAAAAGTATTTAGTCAGCCACCAATTGTGCAAGTTCTCCCACTTAAAAAGATGAGAGAGGCCTGTAATTTTCATCATAGGTACACGTCAACTATGACAGACAAATTGAGGAAAAAAAATCCAGAAAATCACATTGTAGGATTTTTAATGAATTTATTTGCAAATTATGGTGGAAAATAAGTATTTGGTCACCTACAAACAAGCAAGATTTCTGGCTCTCACAGACCTGTAACTTCTTCTTTTAGAGGCTCCTCTGTCCTCCACTCGTTACCTGTATTAATGGCACCTGTTTGAACTTCTTATCAGTATAAAAGACACCTGTCCACAACCTCACAGTCACACTCCAAACTCCACTATGGCCAAGACCAAAGAGCTGTCAAAGGACACCAGAAACAAAATTGTAGACCTGCACCAGGCTGGGAAGACTGAATCTGCAATAGGTAAGCAGCTTGGTTTGAAGAAATCAACTGTGGGAGCAATTATTAGGAAATGGAAGACATACAAGACCACTGATAACGCAAGATCTCACCCCGTTGGGGTCAAAATGATCACAAGAACGGTGAGCAAAAATCCCAGAACCACACGGGGGGACCTAGTGAATGACCTGCAGAGAGCTGGGACCAAAGTAACAAAGCCTACCATCAGTAACACACTACGCCGCCAGGGACTCAAATCCTGCAGTGCAAGACGTGTCCCCCTGCTTAAGCCAGTACATGTCCAGGCCCGTCTGAAGTTTGCTAGAGTGCATTTGGATGATCCAGAAGAGGATTGGGAGAATGTCATATGGTCAGATGAAACCAAAATATAACTTTTTGGTAAAAACTCAACTCGTCGTGTTTGGAGGACAAAGAATGCTGAGTTGCATCCAAAGAACATCATACCTACTGTGAAGCATGGGGGTGGAAACATCATGCTTTGGGGCTGTTTTTCTGCAAAGGGACCAGGACGACTGATCCGTGTAAAGGAAAGAATGAATGGGGCCATGTATCGTGAGATTTTGAGTGAAAACCTCCTTCCATCAGCAAGGGCATTGAAGATGAAACGTGGCTGGGTCTTTCAGCATGACAATGATCCCAAACACACCGCCCGGGCAATGAAGGAGTGGCTTCGTAAGAAGCATTTCAAGGTCCTGGAGTGGCCTAGCCAGTCTCCAGATCTCAACCCCATAGAAAATCTTTGGAGGGAGTTGAAAGTCTGTGTTGCCCAGCGACAGCCCCAAAACATCACTGCTATAGAGGAGATCTGCATGGAGGAATGGGCCAAAATACCAGCAACAGTGTGTGAAAACCTTGTGAAGACTTACAGAAAACGTTTGACCTGTGTCATTGCCAACAAAGGGTATACAACAAAGTATTGATAAACTTTTGTTATTGACCAAATACTTATTTTCCACCATAATTTGCAAATAAATTCATAAAAAATCCTACAATGTGATTTTCTGGAAAAAAAAATCTCATTTTGTCTGTTATAGTTGACGTGTACCTATGATGAAAATTACAGGCCTCTCTCATCTTTTTAAGTGGGAGAACTTGCACAATTGGTGGCTGACTAAATACTTTTTTACCCCACTGTATGTAGACACTGGTTTGGTGCTGGAGATTGAATATGAGGTTGAAAAGTGGTGGAATTGCCCTTTAAGATTAGCAAGTCTGTTTGTTTGGTTACCAAGGCAACTACATTAGCCATCTGGTGAACTTGCTAGCTACTTCAGTGGATATTGAACACATTTATAGCGGCAAATGTGTTAAATTATAGCCTTGGTATAAAAGGGATAATCAACTCAGGGCTCTCCGCGTCGTGGAACACTCCTTCCATGTCGTTCATTATTTTCCATAGAACTCATAGCCCTTCGTTGATTATCCCTTACATATACCACACCCCCTCGGGCCTTATTGCTTGATTATAACGCATATGATCTATAGTGGTATTGGTGGTATATTATAATTGAAGAAGTAGTACAAAGAGATGATGGCCAGGTGTGTGTAGTGCATCATGAACAATATGATCTCTGTCATGGTGTTGGTATGGTATTTCATGTACCATCGTAGTTCCTCCCCAACATCTTCATAAAAATCGAGGTAGCTAAGAATCTTCAACAGGAGGGTCAAGTCACTCATCGAGTGATAAGTATAGTCAGTTTAAAGCAGTGGGGAAAATGTTGTGCCTTTCTGACTCCTCTAAAGCCTTTTGGTTTCTCTAGAGACCCATTCAGTATTCAATGCTAACATTTCTGTCCAAGGTCTAGTCTGTAGCTGGAACCCAAAAGGAAGAGCCACGGGCCACCACTGAGTTCCCACTAGAGCTGGGACGATAAATTGAAAATTACAGACACCGACATTGTCTTCCTCTTACTGAAGCATTGTGCTTACATCTGTAATTTTCTGTGATTTTGCTACACAACGTTCCTGTAAATTGTTCTAAAACCATTATTTGGTCAACATTAATAGGCTATACATTATGTAGATTCCTGCTATGAAAGTAGGCCTATCTGCATGTCTCTGTTTCGCTGTCAGCTGAAGACTCACTCCCTCTCCCCACTGCGCACGGAGGAGGGAGAGAAGCACAAGAAAATGACCGTTGTTCAAAAACTATTGTTCTAGTTACTGAGACGAGAGTCACAGCTTTCTGTGAGTATATACAGTTTCTTCAGAAAGTATTCATACCCCTTGACTTTTTCCACATTTTGTTACAGCCTGAATTTTAAATTGATTAAATATAGTTTTTTTTGTCAATGGCCTACACACAATACGCCATAATGTCAGTGGAATTATGTTTTTTGACATTTGTACAAATTCATTAAAAATATAAGGCTGAAATTTCTTGAGTCAATAAGTATTCAACCCCTTTGTTATGGGCTTATGGCAAGCCTAAATAAGTTCAGGAGTGAAAATGTGCTTAACAAGTCACAACTTGCATGGACTCACTCTGTGTAATAATAGTGTTTAACATGATTTTTTAATGACTACCTTGTCTCTGTACCCCACACACACAGATTCAACCACAAAGACCAGGGAGGTTTTCCAATGCCTCGCAAAGAAGGGCAGCTATTGGTAGATGTGTAAAACATTTTAAAGCAGACATTGAATATCCATTTGAGCATGGTGAAGTTATTTATTAGACTTTGGATGGTGTATCAACACACCCAGTCACTACAAAGATATAGGCGTCCCTAATAACTCAGTTACCGGAGAGGAAGGAAACCACTCAGGGATTTTAACAAGACACCAATGGTGACTTTAAAACAGTTACAGAGTTTAATGGCTGTGATAGGAGAAAACAACTGAGGATAGATCAACAACATTCTAGTTACTCCACAATACTAACCTAATTGACAGAGTGAAAAGAAGGAAGCCTGTACAGAATAAAAACTTTCCAAAACATGCATCCTGTTTGCAACAAGGCACACAAGTAATACTGCAAACAATTTGGAAAGCAATTAACTTTTATTCCTGAATACAAAGTGTTATGTTTGGGGCAAATCCAATTCAACTGAGTAGCACTCTCCATATTTTCAAGCATAGTGGTGGCGGCATAATTGTATTCGTATGTTTGTAATCGTTAAGGACTGGGGAGTTTTTCAGGATAAAAAAGAAACTTAATGGAGCTAAGCACAGGCAAAATCCTAGAGGAAAACCTGGTTCCGTCTGCTTTCCACCAGACACTAGGAAATGAATTCACCTTTCAGCAGGACAATAACCTAAAACACAAGTTGCTTAATCTACACTTGTTGCTTACCAAGAATACAGTGAATGTTCCTGAGGGGCGGAGTTACAGTTTTGACTTAAATCTACTTGAAAATCTGACAAGACCTGGAAATGGTTGTCTAGCAATGATCAACAACCAATTTGACAGAGCTTGAAGAATTTTGAAAAGAATAATTGGCAAATGTTGCACAATCCAGGTGTGGAACGCTCTTAGAGACTTACCCAGAAAGACTACAGCTGTAACCGTTGCCAAAGGTACTTCTACAAAGTATTGACTCAGGGGTGTGAATACATATGTAAATGAGATATTTCTGTATTTAATTTTTAATACATTTGCAAACATTTCTAAAAACATGTTTTCACTTTGTCATTATGGGGTATTGTGTGTAGATGGGTGAGATAAGAAAAATCTATGTAATCCGTTTTGAATTCAGGCTGTAACACAACAAAATGTGGAATAAGTCAACGGGTATGAATACTTTCTGAAGGCACTGTAATTAAATTTTCACCTCTTAATACTGAGTTTGTGGCACCACTTTACAACCGGAGTAGGCTGTAGTTAGTATGGTTTTGAGGTGCCCCAGAGCCGATGCGGACGCGCCATTTGCAGTGAATAGCCTACATCAAGTAGCCTAGGCCTAGCACTGGAAAGTTTTTGTAGGACATTGGCCTACATTTTACTAATATATTCTAAATTAGCCTACTAGCAGCAATATCATATTTAGAGTTAGCAATCTAGCTAAGTGTTTTTAGTTCCCACTTCCTCAGATGTTGAATAACATAGGCCAATATGTTGTCAAATTCTCTATAGAGCCAAAAATAAATCTGATAATTCTGGTTCCTATTTTGACAGGTTGCACATCAAAATATCAATCATGCATTTCCTGTATATGATGTTAGATGAATTAGCTTAATTTTTTGATCATGGGCTACCATCTCAGTTGTCTTACTTAGCATTGGAAAATAATTGTCTAGATAATAATAATTGCCCTGCCGCTAATGTAAAGTAACTGTCCATAAAACATATATATATATATTGTTGTTATCGAGCAAAATAGTTACATTTACGGCGATATTACTTTTTCTCCATATCGCCCAGCTCTAGTCCCCACCCACCATTTTGAGAAACCCTGATATTATTTAGTGTCATGACATGCTTCTATGATCTAACAATAACTTATCTTCATTTTTTCTTTCTCTCTCCTCCCGCCGTGCAGTCGTCACGGGCGTCGCGCTGGGCCGACCCGGACCACTTCGCCCAGCGGCAGACGTGCATGAACAAGTTCGCCAGCTGGTTTGGCGGCATGCCCCTGGTCCACTCCCAAATGAGGCTGGACCCGGTGCTGTTCAAGGACCAGGTCTCCATCCTGCGCAAGAAATACAGGGACATCGAGAGACTCTGACAGGATGTGCGCCCCCTGCCAGAGAGGCCGTGGGAGGCGGTAGAAGCGGTAACAGCCAGAGACTCTGTGGAGAGCAGCCGTAGCCGAAGGAGGACCACGACAGTGGCAGTAGGACAGTCAGCCACCTGGAGCCTGATCCTAGGCGGCGCTACAGCTCGGTCTTCCACTCAGCACATTGCCAATGACCACAGCAGCGCCAGGACTTGACAAGCAAAATGGCGGTGTCTGGAGAACTATAAGTATACACTCAAAGAATATACGGATCTATAGTATGTTCACATAAACACACACAAAGACACTACTGATGATGAGACTCTTAGATTTATTTTATTTTATGCCACCAAGGAGCGAATTACGACATACTTTTTTTTTTCTTGCCACTCTCTGCACATGTGCAGGATGGTAGAGGAAGGGAGGTGTCCAACATGGCAACCCAACCTCAGATCAGATCTGCCCCGGGCTGGTAACCTAGACTCAATGCAACCCCTCCTAACCCCATCTTGACTCCTTCATGACCTCCCTATGTCTGCATCAGGACCCCTGACACACTCACCACCAGCCCCTGCTCTGGACCCTGGGAAACCATGTTCCTCCATTACTTTTGTTATTTTTCTAACCATACTTCCCTCCCATGTGTACACTGGTCTGAAGCCTTGGGGTCTTATCGTCCTAAGAACTGTCCCGTGATTAAATTAAATTATTTTACTGGAAGGACGGTTTAAAAGCCACCATTTTCAAATGGTGGCACTCATATTGCCATGAGGCAGTCACAAACCCCACAGAAACATCCACTCTATGCTCATTCCTTAATTTTCTGGTGTTAGATTTCTATTTTTGTCGCAACGATAAGCCAGAAGCATATCACATTTTAAATGTACCCTTTTTCCTTCCTTCACTTTTCTTCTCGTCTTTTTATTTTCCCCTCAGAAGTTCAGCGCCAGTATCTGTACAGAGGCTCAAAGTAGGCTCATCCCACCATAAGCCCAAACAGAGTACTTTCCCTTCGTCGGAATGAGCAACATGAACATTTCTGGATGAAATGGAGCAGAACACTGCCTTCTAAACCAAACCCTTTTCACCCATTTATTATCCCTGAATTGCTTATGAGCAATACCGTGGCAGAAGGAGTTTATGCTAAATTTAGACCCTAAACAGGTCTTTAGTTGCCTGCGTCATTTCCACAGGAGTGTTACAGATTTCTGAAATTTAAATGTGAAATGCGTCTGTTGTGCCATGTCCTCGAAATTCACATTTAGGGCTGCCTTTTTTACATTTCTTATTGCACATATTTCCCGTAAATCGATATCGAAAGCAGGAGAAGATGCTATCTAGTCGAAATGCCCTCTGTAATATTCGTTGTTCTTCCTAGATTCCCTCATCATAATGATGTTGGAGAAATAGAAGCCTCAAAGCCATTCGATAGACAGAGCCATCTCCTACACCATTCGTCAGAGGACATATGTTTTCTGTTTAATTAGAGAAAGACATTTCATTTGAAGTGTTGGTTTCCCTGGGGAGCAGCCCTTGATGAAACCGTCTGTCTCTATATTTTCCATCATGTCTGACTCTGCTCTGGATGCAGTGACCCACAACCTTGACCCTTTGGCTCTAGGCGTACAGTGAAAAGACAACCAGCTCCCTTTCACCTAGCCTTGTCATTGTAATGTTCTTCAGTACCCTCTTTGTCCATAATTTCTGTTGCTCCTAGTCTTCCCGTGATGGTACTCACAATACTGATTCATCCCAGCTCAACTACATTTGGCCTGACACATTTTGTAGCCAGTTAGTGGTAATGTGTATTATGGTCGAATAGGAAAAACCTCTATACTTTATTTTATTGATCAATTTCAAGGAAATAGCTTTGAGATGTGGAAGCTCATTACTTTATAGTGATATCCCATTGTAAACAAGCTTTTGTCTTTGTACCACACCAGAGCCCTGCCAGTCCACTCGAACAGGTACTTGAATGTCTGAAGACTTAAAGGAGCGTAGTGTGCTTTAGTTGCCTTTTTATTGTGAAGGTGACTGAACTTAAAAGGCCAGTTTCCCAGACATGGATTAAACCTAGTCCTGGAACAAAAAATTATTCTCAATGGAGATATTCCATTGAAAGTGCATTTTAGTTCAGAACTAGGCTGTATCTGGCTCCGAGAAACCGGCCAATAGTGTGTCAGCTGTGAGCCAAAGCTCAACAATCCGTTTTCTTCTCCCCCTTCGTTGTATCCGCGTCATTTCTTATCGAGGTCGTTGTAGACTCCTTCACATTGATTTAGTTGTTTTCACCTTCCATATCAGGATACAATCAATGGAGGTCAGTGTCCACTAAGTGTATATGCCAATGAGTTGATATTGTGTCATCGGTGGGCCTGGCCCATCCACTCTTGTCATTTTCACAATGTCATACGTGATATTATCAGCATAACACTTAATACTGCAGTACAGTTAGATTTAGTACAGTTTCAAAGCTGGTTTATTGTCAATATATTGTTTTTTTCACTAGATTTTTCAATATCATGTATTTTCTTTCTGGAAATGTACTCGGGAGGAGGAGTTTGGAATGAACTTGTATGACTTGATATTGGCCAAGAGAGATTTACGTTGTATTTGATGTTGACTTACAGCAAGCCTTGGATCTCTTGGCACTAGACAGGCATCTCAATGATTATGAAAAATGTTGGCCCGCATCTGGTCCCCTTTTGAAGTTCAGTAAACCATCTTTGTTTGAATTCGTATCAAGCTTTTTTCTATCTATGATTGTCTGAACGAACTTGTTATATTATCTCAAGAGCGAAAGTCCCCAGCCTTGCACATTGACTTCACGGGCAAAACCAGAGACATTTCAGAAGACCTTAACTGTCATTTCTGTACATAAACATGTATATTTATTTTCATATGTGAGCAAAACCAGACAGTGTATAGTATGAAATGACGGGGGGAAATAACAGGATTTCTTGGCTGAAGGAACAGTTGATGAGCAAAAAAAAAATCAGATTTTGTAAGATGTACATTTCTTTAATTTTTTTCACATTGTTGCCAATATATATTTTTTTATTTCCACGGAATAAAAACATCCCTTTTGCTTTTAAAATCTTCCTATATAGAAATACATTTGTGTTACCATGTCATTTAATTCGTAATCACCATGGAGACAAGATTATACCAATAATCTAGAATTGGATTTGCTGTGAGCATTTCGATGTGAACAAAAGCAACAATGGCACCTGGGTCTCTTGAACAGATCGAGGGTTTTCGTTTGTTGCTGTAATATGTATCTTAGATTCACCATAATGTTTTTTGTGTCACTGTCCACATCTGCATACTCATTGATGTATTTGGGGAAACTGTCGATTCTCTGACTGTCATATCTGGTACAAATATACTCAACTCAAAACAGTAATGTTGAATGAAATAGAAATATGACCTTGTAATACAACTCTCATTTAAACATGTCCTTCCATAAAACCATAGGATACCAGACATTCTATGGTTTACCAATGCATGGCATCTGTATCAGTGTGATTGGATGTGCAGGATGGTTATCTGTCCTTGATTGTGCCTTTTTATAAAATTTAGGTTTTTGAGCTCATGGTAACAAACTGCCATTTTGACCGTCAGTCAGAAGAGGAGCACCATATAGGGCTCTCATTCACCTTGACATACACTGGAGTTTCATCACCGCTGTCATTCATCCGTGACCACTCTTTTCTGTTGGATATTAAACTGTGGTGACGACCAACAACGCGCCTGCATGACCACTTCTATGGAATTATTTATCAGTACTTAACTGTATCAGACAGACAAGATATTTTGTAATGACTTAATTTGCTCCCAGCTGTCCTGATGCCTTCCTCCCGCCTACCTTGTAATTAACAAATGACTTTTATAGAGGTAAATGAAATAGAAACATGCCAATTTTGTAAGAATGATTTATATAAAAATAAAAATAAATTGATCATTGCTGCGTGACTATTCTTTATTGCTTTGAGGCAATGTGTAGCCTACTGTTAAGCATAGTAATGTTGAGTTACATTACAGAATAGACCAGGTAAATTAGTTTTTTTTTTTTTTTTTTTACCCCTGTAGGTCTAAGCCGTTGGATTGCAATATCTACTAAGCTAACATATGGAAATGTTTTAAGATTGTCATAAAATGTATCATTTAGCCATTTGATTTAGAATTTTAGGACCCCTGTAGGTATAAAAAAAAAAGGATATAAAAATGTTTTTTGATGAAACATTGAAGTTTGCCTGTACTGCTACAGCCCATAGAAACACATTGAATAACACATTCATAAATGGCAAAACAGACAGTCCAAAAATAAATAAGGAACAAGGTTTTGAAGTGTCTGTCCTGCAAATTTTCTTATCGATTTAAACATTTGATCTCAATAGTTGTTTCCAAAACTAGAATCTGTAACAGAGTGGACGTTTTGTAGATATTACCCTTTGCCAACTGATGGTTTTCTTACAAAAACATTGCGTTATATAGTGTGTCCACGCTGGTATCTAGCCAACCATTTGCAGATACAGTGCGGATATACTCCTGAGTGGCACAGTGGTCTAAGGCACTGCATCGCAGTGCTAACTGTGCCACTAGAGATCCTGGTTCGAATCCAGGCTCTGTCGCAGCCGGCCGCGACCGGGAGACTCATGGGCGGCGCACAATTGGCCCAGCGTCGTCCAGGGTAGGGGAGGGAATGGCCGGCAGGGATGTAGCTCAGTTGATAGAGCATGGCGTTTGCAACGCCAGGGTTGTGGGTTCGATTCCCACGGGGGGCCAGTATAAAAAAAATATGCATTCACTAACTGTAAGTCGCTCTGGATAAGAGCGTCTGCTAAATGACTAAAATGTAAATGTAAATAGTCTACATGATGTGATTATTATGGACAAAAGAACACGATTATTTGTATTTGTCAAACGGCAGCCAAGCATCGATGATCATGTCACCAGAATAAGACCCTCGATATTTATTGCAAAGGCTCATCACCTTGCACTTTCAC